CCTGTCTCCTGTACAATGTCACGAACCTCTGTCCATAGTTCATCAGGCACTCTATCAGATCTAGTCCCTTAAATCTATTTCTCACTTCCACTGTATAATCATAAGGGATTTAATTTAGGTCATACCTGAATGGTCTAGTGGTTTTCCCTACTTTCTTCAATTTAAGTCTGAATTTGGCAGTAAGGAGTTCATGACCTGAGCCACAGTCAGCTCCCGGTCTTGTTTTTGCTGACTGTGTAAGCTTCTCCATCTTTGGCTGCAAAGAATATAATCAGTCTGATTTCGGTATTGACCATCTGGTGATGTCCATGTATAGAGTCTTCTCTTGTCATATGTCAAATAGATAGCCAAGGGGAATTTGCTCTATGACTCAGGAAACTCAAACAGGGACTCTGTATCAACCTGAGGGGGGGGATGGGGAGGGACGTTCAAAAGGGAGGGGATGTATGTATACCTATGGCTGATTCACGCTGAGGTTTGACAGAAAATGGCAAAATTCTATAAAGCAATTATCCTTCAATAAAAAATTTTTTAAAATGTGAAGAGACAGTGAGAATTGAGAAAGAACTCCTTCAGGAGTGTGACAGTGTTTTTTATTTATCTTTATATATTCAGTGCCAAGTATTTGCTTGGTGCTTGATAAACATTCCTTTAAAGAATGAGCTGGGGACTTCCTTGGTGGTCCAGTGGTTAAGACTTTGTTCTTCCACTGCAGGGGCGCAGGTTCAGTTCCTGGTTGGTGAACTTACATCTTGCATGACTTGTGGCATGGCCATAAAGTAAATTTAACAAATAAAAATTTAAAAATAGTAAAGAATGAGCATAATAAATGTGAAAAACTGCTCAGCCTCAAGGAAATGCAGATGAAATTGTGCATGGCCTATTATTTTCCTCTTGCCAAATTAGCAAATACTTAGTTTAATAACAATAGTGTGTTTTTTCTTTTTTAAATTTTTTGAGGAGGGGTATAGTTGACATATAATAAATTCACTTTTTTAAAATGTATAACTTGAAGTATTTTGGAAGCTGGATAATCATGCAGCCATTACATCTATCAAGATAGGGAACATTTCTATCACTCCCCAAAAAAGGTCTCTTCATCTTCAGTATCTGTTCTCTTATCTTCAGTATCTGGCACGTAGTGCTCTGTTTTATGTTATTATAGTTCTCCCTTTGCCAGAAAACTATATAAATAGAATCATACAGTAAGTTGCTTTTTGTGTGGCATCCTTCACTTAGCATAATGCTTTTGAAATTCATTTCGTTGCATGTACCAGTGGCCTTTTTTCTTTTTATTGCTGAGTAGTATGTCATTCTGTTTATTCTTTGACTGGTTGATAGACATTTGGGTTGTTCCCAAATTATTACAATTATGAATAAAGTTACTGTAAACCCTCATGTACAAATCTTTGTGTAGCCACAGGCTTTCATTCCTACTGGTGAAATTGCTGGGTCATATGTGGAACATGCATATATAACTTTACAACAAACAGCCAACCAGTTTTCCAGTGTGACTGTACCATTGCATTCCCACCCCTTGTTAAGTAAGGTGTTAAAACAAGTACTTAATTGCAATTGTGAGTGAAAGGTACTATGTCTCTATTGGGGAGCATTTTGGCAGTCTGAATCAAGTTAGTAAACATATTTACTATCTTTGACCTAGAAACTCCACTTCAAGGCATGTCTTTGTAATATCTCTCTGAAATATATGCAAATATATTTGTTGAAATACCATTTGTAATAGGAGACTGAAAAATATGAACAACTGTAATGGCTGTCTTCAGGTGATAAAATTACAGATGATTAACTACATTCAGTGCTATGCTGGGCATTATAGTGGATTAAAAAGAAACATAAGACATGTTCCTTTGTTCATGTAGCTTGTAATGAAACACACCATGAGTAGAAGTAAAATATGGTCTGAGTCTGTAAGAAGCATAGGAATGTGTTTATGTAAATGTAATAAAACAGTATTGTTGGAGGTTCTTCAAATAATCGAGGAACAGCATATGCTTTAGTAGTGGAGATACTTGGCAGTGAGGCTCTGCATTCTTTAATAGAATGTTTCAAAAGCTTTGGGATGATCTTGGATACAACAGGTGCTCAGTAAATGGTAGCACCTTCCATTTTTACTAGTACTAGTAAAACTTAACAGGAACTTAAGTTTGGTGGAATAGTTTGGTGGGGAATCATTACTGTCTTGAGAAAAGAACACTAATATATAAATTATAGTTATTTTATTCTAGTGGTTTATGTACAGTTAAAAAAAAAAAAAAAGGAAAACCTTTTAACCCTAAGTAAGTATGTTCCACAGAGTGGTGAGCAGTTTGGGAACAGCAATTTTGTCTTGTTTGTTGCTTTTATCTCTTGTGCTTATTAACACATGGTAAGAGGAGTGGGGTAGGGTGGGGGTGGTGAGTTGGTCTCAGGATTTATAACTAAACCAGTGAAAGTAAAGAGAAGATTGTCTAGTCCCTTAGTATAACTATGGAATGACAATGTTACCTGGATGAAGTGGATAGATTGGGCAAAATGTGAGATTTAAAAGAATGGAATATCTGGTTTGAGCCAGATAACAGTTCCTTGGATATGTAGAGTGAGACAATAGGAAAGGGGGAATGTCATTTTAAAAAGTTGTAATAGCTGTGGTTAACCTAGCACCTTCTGTATGCATGGTGTGTTAGATCACATTAAAGTCATGTTACAGATAGGGAAGAATTAGTTGGTGTTAGAGCTGGAATGTTAACTGTGCTTTTAAAAAGCCAGCTCTAGGTGGTCCAGTGATTAGGACTTGGAACATTTGTACTGTGGTGGCCTGGGTTGGATCCCTGGTTGAGGAACTAAGATCCCACAAACCATGCAGTGCAGCCAAAAAAAAAAAAAGCCAGCTCTAGTATCACGTTTTCCTTCTATGAAGCCATGCCTATAACTCTCCAACTCCCCTACCCCCACACTTTTTCCTGCCATCTGGCTGGAGACCCTTCTCTGTTTCCATGAAATAGTTTGTAACTGCAGTTTTGCATATACTTACGGAATTATAGTTACAGTATACCCTTGTATTTTGGGGACTTGGTATTCTGTGAGTCAGCCACTCCTTCGGGAACTTACAGAGTTACCGCTGTAAAGCCCATGATGTGGAGAATCACAGTGCAAGGCTGTTCAAACAAGAGGGACTCACTCCCTGTGAATGCAGGACCAGCGCTCAAATAGCAGAGTTTTACGGATACTTGTCTTTGGCAAATGTAACAGTTCTTTACTTCTCCCTTTTACGTTTCATCTTCTGCCCAACTTATTACTCAACTTGGAGTTCAGTTTAAACAGCTAGCAGTGCATGTTTACATTTAAGTAGTGTCATAATGTCTTTAAATTATAGGTCCCCTGCTGTACCACTTTGAAAATTTGGCGAATGAACTTTCCATAGAATTGAGCTATGAGGATATAAAAAATGTTGTTCTGCAGTATGGATTCCAGTTAGAGGTAAGGATGGAATGAGTATTGTCAACTTTCAGAGCACTCAAATAGGAATGGTGATATCATGGCAGTTACTGACTTTACTTAACCTCTTTTGTTTTCTAACCCATGAAGTGAAAATAATACTTCTTAGCTTTTAGAATTATAGGGATTTGGGATAATGTGTATGTAAGTGGAAAACTGTCATACCTAGTGTAATCACCTTTCAATAAGTGGTAGCTGACTTTTATCATAATACTGGCATTTGTAGACAGATCACAGGTAGATGGGATGGGAGGTCAGGTGTAACAGGGATATTGTTTATTATATGTACTTTTGCACTGTGTGGTCTTCCCTTATGTGATTATAACGTTTCATGATACTTCAACTATTGTTTTAGTTTATTTAGAAGCATTTGATTCATTTAAAAAATAAACAACAGGTTTGTTCTTAAAGATAAAAAGAAGCAATATATTATAGTAGTTTAGAGTTCAGGCTCTGGAATTAAGACTTCTTGAGCATGAATTCCAGTTTCACTACTTACTGTAAGTGTGACCTGTTGTTGGTAAACTGAGATTACTTATAGTGCCAATCTTAGAGGGTACTTATGTGTAATAAGTGAATAATACACAGAATATGTTTAAAATAGCACTGTCATTGTCATTTTCATCATCATTATAATTACTGTTTGCATTTCAGGTGGAAAAAGAATCTGTCTTGTCAACGTATACTGTGAATGATCTATCCATGATGAAATACTACTATGAATGTGTTTTGTTTGTGGTGCGTAAACCACAATAACAGTCTCAAGTGATTATCATCAAGAAAAAAGTTTAATATTAAATGCTGAAATAAACAACTCAAAATCAACTATCATAATGACAGGACACAACCTCAAATCAGTGGTGCCTTCTTATTCCTAACAAAATTTAGAAATAGTGTCTATTTTCTTAATATGTCTATCGCTTTTTCAGAAATATACTATGCCATGCATATTTGTACTACACAAGTAAAAATGGAGGAAATGTCTTCAAGTATACTTTTTCCTTGAAGCCCAGAATTATCTTTCAGTAGAAAAAACTTTATTTCCAGTGTCTTTATGAAGCTGTCCGTTAGGTCTGCCATATGAATAACTTATAGTATTGCAATCCATAAAAATCTCCCTTTTTGTTGTTTTGTATGCATCATACATGTTAAGAGTCTAAGGATCCTCTGTCACTTTCATCATCTGGAATTGGGATTTTGTTTACTTTGAATCTAAGCAATCTACACAGAAAATGCATATCCTTTTATCATTCAAATTATTTTATTTTCTAGCTCAGCTGGACTTATAGTTAGCATCAAACATTTCATCTTTACAAAATGTTGAGTTTATAGGATCAAATTAGCCTTTTGGTCACACTAAGTTGAACACTTTGAAAGCATACTCATCATGGATCACTCTGAAATATATGAGATCTCAGCATTCTAAGTGAGGCACAAAAGTATTTATTAAAGGTACTGCTAGGAAACTGGGAAAATAAGAATAAAATCTGTCCATTTGAAATGTATGATTTCAAACTATAAATGAATACACTTTGTCAGCTGGATGTTTACAATAATGTCTTTCCTTTAGATTACCTGAATTACAAAAGCAAGCACTTTTTTTTTTCCGTTAAAACAATTATATACTAGTAAAAACTGTCATGATAGTATTAATGTGGAGAAATTTTCATTATGAAATTTAGGGATAAATTACTGCCCATGGTCTGTGTATTTAATATTGTAAGCAGCAGCCATTAGTATAATTCCAGATTAGTATCCATTTTGTTCCCTGATAGCTATAGCTAAAACAGTATATGCTGCTTTAAATTTCTACCTCTAGCAGATCTTTTTTGGAGGGAGTTTTCCTTTGTATTTTTTAATGTTTATTACCCTGTTTTCCAGTAGCTTGATAAATAGATGACTAATTTAATGTGTTTTAACCTTTTCTTGGAGAAAAGGGAGTAATATTGAATATTTTCATAGATGGTTGTGATGACATTAAGTGACCTCTGTGGCAATTTTAATTAAATAGACTTAATCTCAATAATGTGCTGGTAACATAAATGTCATGTTTTCATAGGAAAACTTATTTATAAATCTTTACACCTTTATTTTCAGTTAGGTGAGGGGAGTCCTGGTGTGATTTGGCATCTTACCAGTAGGATCTTTTCTACATACACTACAGGAGTGCCTGTGGCCTTTATGTCCATGATGCAATAAAGGATTCCATTAAGTTGATTTGTCAAGTTATAGACACCTGTATGTAACCTACTGAATGTTTCTGAAAAACTATTTCTCTTTATTTTGTGTTCCTGAGTACTTGGCAGATGTTCATTTAGTGGGAATTCTTACCTACCACATGGATGAACTTGAAATTAATTGCAAGGGAAAAACAAACTTATTTTCTTTTAAAGAAAGAAACTTAAAAGGAGCATAAATATTTCTAAAAAGCTATTGAAAGGAATGCATGCTGTTTGTAATGTAGAAATGCTTTTTATTCACTGATAAGTATTCACTTTTTTACAGCTTGTATCAAATGATTTTGGTTTTCTCATAAAGGGAAAAACAGGTTGACACCAGTGGGTTGGTATTATTCCTTAAAATTTTTGCTATCAGGTTTTATCCTTTAATAATGTTATTTGTACTTCTGAATTACAGCTTTTAGTTAATTATGAAATCAGTTATTTCATTTCTTGATTTCTCCATATTATGAACGCTGTTTTTAAAATATACTACACAAATTTGCATCCCTTTTTTTCTCTCATAGCTTTTGTAGTTAATACATTCTAAACTTGAAAATTGTGGTATCAATCAATAATAGAGGTGTCACTGGAGGATTTAATTTTGTATTATGTGTAGAAATAGCTACTAAAATGTGTAAGCCTTAAAGTTTAAAACATTTTTCTTAAATAACTATACTCAGATTTTTCATTTATTTTCATAAAGTGGGAGGAGATAGGTCATTGTGCTTGCTTTTGTTTTTTTTTTTTATTTCCATAATCTGAAGCAGTACAGGCTAGGGTATGTTAATCAAGTGAGCAAGATGAGATATGTAAAATATGAAGAGAAGCTGTATAAATCACAGTATAAAATTATTAAGTTTGGGAACTGTAAAATGTACTGTATTTATATGTAACTCACTCGAAAAGTTGCCACAAAGGCTGACTTGGAAGCTTCATGTCTGCATGAAATTTCCTATATTTTTAATGTGTATGATGGACTTAATTTTTCTTGAATATTAAAATCTGACAATTGCTATGAAACTGTATTTGCTTGCTTGTTTCCATCTAACATGGGATAACCATAGATATGGGAATTTTAATTAATTGAGAACAATGTATTTAGACCCTGGAATTAGCCTTTTATATGCTTCTAGAAAGTCATTATGATTAGTTGAACTCTGAGTATGCTAGGCCTTGTACTAATTAAACTTGGTCTTTGGTTTTGTTATATAATCAAACAAGAATTGAAGAAAATTCCAGCACCAGCCATTAGTATGACGAGTGCTGAACTGGCACTTAGATACTTCTCCTGAATTATTATTTGTGATCTTGGGCAAAGCATTCTGAGTTTGTTTCCTCATCTATGAAAGAGGATTGATATCCAGTTCAATGGTTTTTATGAGGTCCTCTGTACTATATGTGAAATATTAATATTATATAGGCATACCTCCTTTTATTGCACTTTGCAAATAGTGCTTTTTTTTTTTTTTTTTACAAACTGAAGTTTTGTGACAACCCTTGTGTCTAGCAAGTCTGTCAGCATCACTTTTCCAACAGTATTTACTCACTTCATGTCTTTGTGTCATTTTGGTAATTCTTGCAGTAGTTCAGACTTTTTTGTTATTGTACTTTGCTGTGGTGTTTGGTAAACACTGATTTTAAGGTATGCACATTTTTAAAGACATTTAATAGATGACAGTATAATGTAAACATAACATTCATATGCCCTAGGAAACCAAAATATTTGTGTGACTCACTTTATTGCGATATTAGCTTTATTGCAGTGGTATCTTCAATATCTCTAATGTATGCCTCTATGTGAATATGTGAAAGCACATAGTGGACAAGTAAATGTGATTTCCATATATGTTGATTGCTGTATACACAGAAATCAGTTTCACATGGATGAAAGATTTAAATATGGAAGCAAAAATATAGAACCATAAAATGTCTAGAACTTGGAACAGGAAAGGACTTCTTAACAAATAGTATGTGTAAACCAGACAACTAAACATTGATAAACTTGACTATGTTAAAATTAAGATATCAGACAGTAAAAATACAAGACATACTGGGAGCAAATATTTATAATATTTACAACAGCTACTACTCATAAGAACATTGCTTTCTAGAATATAAAAGCAGCTTTTCCAAATCAGTTAGAAAAGAACAACTATACCAACTTTTTAAAGTTGCAAAGAACTTAATCCTTTCACAAAAAGCTAGAGATCCAAGTTGGGCCAAGCAGAGGCTGGCTGAGATCAGGTAGAGTGGTCTTGAAGCAGAGGTGATGGTGAAAAGGCCTACGCCTTAAGACAAAAAAGCATAAACTACAGACAATGAAAGAAAAGACTGATAATGTAGACCACATTTACGTTTAGAACTTACTCAACAAGACACCATGCAGAGTAAAGAGCCAGAATTACTGCTTCAGGAATGGCCCATAAACTGTAAAAGAGGTCCAGTTTCACTGGGGAAATACAAACAGGCCACAATGAGATATATCGCATTGCAAGTTTACTGGTGAGGATGTGACAAAAAAAGGCATCTCATCCTGTACTAGAATAAGCTCGTAAATAGCACTTCAGGAAGCTAGTCCAAGTGAAGTTAAACATACACTGTACTACTCAGGAATTCCATCCTGTAGAGACAGGCGGCTCAGTGGTAAAGAATCTGCCTGCCAATGTAGGAGACACAGGAAACCTGGGTTCGATCCCTGGTTTGGGAAGATCTCCTGGCGGGGGAAATGGCAACCCACTCCAGTATTCTTTCCTGGGAAATTCCATGGACAGAGAACCCTGGCGGGCTACAGTTCATAGGATTGCAGAGTTGGACACGACTGAGCAACTAAGCACGCATGCAGAGACATTCTTGCACATGCGCCTTAGAAAGTATGAAGAATGCTCATATCAGGGATTCTCATATGTCGCAAAGAATCTGCCTGCCAACATAGGAGACTCGGAGACACGGGCTACATCCCTGGGTTGGAAAGATCCTCTGGAGGAAGAAATGGCAACCCACTCCAGTATTCTTATCCAGAAAATTCCATGGACTAAAGGAACCTGGCAGGCTATAGTCTAAGGGATCTAAGAGTTGGACATGACTGAGCACACACACATGTTAACAGTATACTATCTCTAAAAATTTGAAAAAAACTCAAATGCTTAACAATGAAGTGTATTCATATGGTGGAATACTGTATTTAACATGAATGAACTTACATGCATAAAAATATGAAATAAGGAAAATAAAGCAAATGACCAGTTTTTAAAATTCGGTAAAATTTGAGTATTTTACGTAAGAAGACATACAGATAGCAAGTAAGCACGTAAAAGATCCTGAAGATCATTAGTCATTAGGGAAATCCAATGGGATAAACTACAATGGGATACATGAGATATTTAGTTAGATTAAAATTAGTCTGACCAAACTTAAGTGTTGGAAAGGATATGTTGGCGTCTCTGAAACACTGCTAGGTGGAATGAAGAATGGTACAACCACTTTGGAAACCAGTTTGGCAGTTTTAAAAAAACTTACTTTAACTTTTTAAAAAAGTTAAATATACACACTTGCTATGTTATCCAACCTTTCCACTCCTAAGTGTTTACCTGAGAGGAAAAAAAAGGCCTATGTCCATTCAAAGCCTCACACATAAATGTTCTCTGCAGCCCCAAACTGAATACAACCTACATGTCCACCCAAACTGAAAAAATAGACTGTGATCTATCCATATATATGTAATAAACGGCAAGTTATTCTGCCAGAAAAAGAATGGAATTTTGCCGATTGCAACATGGATGGATTGCAACATGGATGGATTTAAAAGGTATAAATACGGTATCGCTTTACTTATATGTGGAATCTAAAAAAAATAAATGAGCAAATATAACAGAGAAACGGTCACAGATAAACAGAACAAACAGGTGATTGCCAGAGGGGAGGGGGACTGGGGATGAGAGAAAACGGGAGGAAATGCAAAGATCAAACAGAAAAGCTACTATTTACTACCTTACTTATATTTCTATAATAAACAATTGGTTGCTCCTAACTTCTCACAACAGGCTTGATGGGCAGGGGCGTGGGATAATTACTTACTAATCAGAGAACAATTATCTTCCTTGCACACTTTTCTCTAGAAGATCATAGTAGTTTCTCCCTTTAAATCACTTATACATAACTTTCTTCCTCAGCTTTTTCTTGGTTACTGTTTTTATTAACTATTAAAAATAAGGTTGTTTTCTCTCATGTCCTTTGACAGCACATACCGTTTTGCTCTAAGAAAGGTTTTGGAATCTCACTTCTGACCACCACGTAGAGGAAGCAAGGAACGCTGCCTTTCCCACATAATTTAAAAGCCAAGCAATCTCAAGTTTCAGTCGCAAAGCGACATAGCTACTCTGAAACCTCTGCCACACCACTGGGCCTTTAACAAGCCCGCCTCGCCCCAGGGCGCGCACTTCCGGCCGCGGGGGCGCTCGGGAGCTCGCCCCGCGAGCCTCCACCAACCAGGGGCTCTGCCTGGCTTACGCGAATGCGCGCGCGCACATTTGTGCGCAGGTTCGAATCTCTGCCGCCTCGCGGTTGCTCCCCAACGTCCGGCAGCGCCTCGGAGGCGGCGGCGAGAGCTGCGCGCGCGAGCTCGGCCGGATTGGCTGCCCCGCCCCCTCCGCCCTCGGCACTTTCCAGCGGCGGCCTCGCCTGGACTCGCACCTTGCCCTCCCTCACGCACTGCGCGCTCCGCCCTGGTCTTCCGCCCCCACAGCTATCGGCACTCGGCATCCCGCGCCGGGCGGGCTCCGCTCGAGCCTTCGGGGCCCATGGCCAAGCGCCGTGCGGCCGAGCCGCTGACGTTCCACGTGCCTTGGAAGCGGCTCCTGCTCTGCGACTTTCCTGAGGAGCCGCCGCCGCCGCCGCCGCTCTGGATCCCGCCGCCGGGGGCCTCGCATCCCGGGCGGCCCCTCGGCTTCCCCGAGCTGCCCCGAAAGCGTAAAATCGACGTGGGGGCTATGACTGAGCCTTCGGTTTCGCCCAGCAAGCGCCGCGACGACGGGGATACCGGTGCTCAGGGCGGCGCGGAGCGTGAGGGCCGCGGCCTGGAGACCGGCGAGTCGCAGCTGCTGCAGCCGCCCGTGCGGCCCAGCGGGCCGGGGGAGGAGCCCCGGGGTGTCCGGCCCCCGAGAGGCGGTGGCGACGATGGGGCGGGGCGCGCAGAGTCCCAGCGGGGAGAGTGGGGGGCCGCACCGCGCCAGGTAGGGGCTGGTGGTGGGCTGGGCGCTCCGACGGGGGGCGGGGTGGGGGAGAAAGGGTCACCCGTAGCCCGGCACTGCGCGTCCCGGGAAGGAACCTATCGTCCCCCTCTAAAGTCGTGTTTGTCACGACACCCCCGCCCAAGATGAAAAGCTGGGGTCCTCCCCATGAGAATGTACACTGACACCCCCCCTCCCCGCGTCCGAAGCAACACACCAAAGGCCCTAGAGCCCGCCTTGGGCAGCGTCTTGGTTCGTTACGACGGGCAGAGAGCACTAAGCTAAACTGGGGGGAAACAGACCGTTGGATGAGGTATACTCGTAGCCTGGCGCCTTCAGCACTTGTGTTGTCCAAGAGGGAAGCAGGGGCGTGGGTCATCACAGACGGGGGAGCTTGGTAAAGACGTTGACCGTGAACTGCGATAAGTTAAGCTCCACGACAAAAGTTCAGAGAAAGGTGGATTGCGTCTTCCTCGGTTTAACGACGATTGTTTTCTGGAATTCATGATCGATTTCTTTCTAAAGAGGGTGACCAATGTAGAAGCCACCAGTTGGACGTCCTTTTAAGGGATGGTACAGCTCTTTTGGTTGAGAGGAAGGGCCTCCGTATCTCGGGGAAAAGGCATTCTTAACGCAGTGTTAAGTCTGATCCTATGAAAAAGGATCAGAAAATTAATCTGGTTCTTAACATCAGGCATATGTATGAGGATCTTTGGAGAGTTCCGCTCCCGTGGGAAATGAGCCTGCCCCATATCTGCACATAAGATGTCTAGATAGGTGTGGCAGCCACTCGAATTGTGACACAACACCTGAGGTGTGACTAGTTCAAACTGAGATGTGCTCAAAGTGTAAAATAACACACTAGATTTCAAAAAATTTTATATTGATTGGACATTGAAATAATTTGAAGATACTGGATTGAATAAAATACATACTTTTCTAATATGGCCATTCAGTCAGTTCAGTTCAGTACCTCAGTCGTGTCCGACCTTTTGCGACCCCGTGGACTGGGGCACTCCAGGCCTCCCTGTCTGTCACTAACTCCCGGAGTTTACTCAAACTCACGTCCATGGAGTGGGTGATGCCATCCAACCATCTTATCCTCTGTCATCCCCTTCTCCCGCCTTCAATCTTTCCCAGCATCAGGGTCCTTTCAAATGAGTCAGTTCTTCGAATCAGGTGACCAAAGTATTGGAGTTTCAGCTTCAGCGTCAGCCCTTCCCATTGAATATTCAGGACTGATTTCCTTTAGGGTGAACTGGTTGGATTTCCTTGCAGTCCAAGGGACTCTCAAGTATGGCCATTAGAGAATTTTAAATAATGTTTGTGACTGGCATTGTGTATTATTGGGCAGCTTTGGTCTCATCTTAGGAATTCAAGCAGCGTTTTGGCACTTACGGGTTGAACCAGGAGCTTTACAGGTAGAAGAAGCAAATGAAGAGCTGAGACTTCACCAAGTTCTCTTCAACCACTACATTGTATCATCTGCCCCACTTTTCTCCATTGTCCTAAATATCATAAGCATCGATAGTACTTTTCAAATTCTTTGCCAATAAAATAAGAGTAGTTTGGAAAGATCTTGTTCTGTGCTCGTCAGAAATTATCTTTTAGATATATTTATTATGATGAGCATTTCTACCCCGGGTTTTCTTGGAATTTAGAAAATGAATCCTATTTAGACTTTTAAAATTCAAACTGCTTTTGGATGTTCAAGTCCTCTTAAGACTGAATGATAGCACTTAGTTTTAAAGTAGAATAAAGAATTACAATTTGCAGTTAAATCATGTCATACCAATGTGCAAAACCTGAAAAAAAAAAAAAACAGAAATCTAGAATGATGGTCATCCAGACCTATTTGGTATGAAGGTAAGTACTGTATAGTCTGAGAACTTGACTGTTTCTGTTACCCTACCCATAAGTAGGCTTGTCTTTCCTACCAGAGTATACTGACTGCAGTATGCCACAAATTGGTAAAAGGGAAATGAAAATGGCAGGTAGGCAAAGGAATTTTTTTTAGTAAACTGACAGCAGATATCTGCGTAGAATCTCCTAGACGCTAAAATCTCCTATATCTTCTTCCACAGCAGTGACTACATCTAGAAGCTTTCTGCTTCCGGGACTCACTATAAGCCTGTAGCAGGGAACAAGCTTGTTTTGAGGAGTTTCTACATAAAGACTAGTCCCCTGTTCTCTTTCCCCACGAACCCATATGTTCCTTTTTTGTGTCCTGTTCCTTGAGCTGCTGCTTTGTGTAAACTTAATTTTCTTCAGCTTCTTTTTTTCTTTACTGCCACCAAAGATGCTTGGTTTTTGTGTTATAAGAGTCTACAGCCAAGGGAAAATAGGATATAGCAAAAACATTCTGAAGTTAAAAAGTTTTTTCAGTTCCTGCAGCAAAAGTCTTCCTGGTTCCTCTTCTCAGAGTTCAAGTCCCTATCCTTACCCTTGGGATCTCATTTAGGAAGAATTTCCTTAAATATGTCCTTTCTATATGAAGGATGAAATCTAGGCAGAATGATGGTACCTGTTTTCTGTCCTAGAATCTCAAGAGTGTTGAGTTGTTTCAGGTATTTTCTTAACTGGAGAACTAAAAACCAGGTGTTACTTCAATGAATATTCATGTATTTTCTCATGTTAGAGTTGCTTTATGCAGATTCAATACTGTCAGTGCTGACCTTTACTGTTATTAATATTTTAAATAGAAATGGTGTGCTTTTAGTTTATAATGATGCAGGTTCATAGGCTTCTTGGGATATAATAACTAGCTGTATTTGGCAGTTACAGTGCTAAACTGTAATTCGCACAAGAGCAGAGTCTCGTCTTCTTTTGTCTGTGATGAAATAGACTTCAGTCAAAATCAGAATTAATGGGTGGTGGAGTTATCATATAAATGCAGACCTGTCCTGTGGGCAAAGTTTGTGCTCTTAGCTAGTAGGTTATACTGACCTTGTTAAGGGATCTTTTTTGATTTGTGTCTTATAAGTAAGTAATTTGAACAATAGATTTTTTCCAAGAGACAGAGAAATAGGTCATTGTTTTTAACCCTGTTTACTTTAAAATGAAATTTTTCTTGGCATCGTTTGAGTTATTAAATTTTTATCCCAGTGTTAAGAAATTCCCAAGGGACTCTTAATTCGCTAAGCCTTAGTGTCTGAGGCACTGAATGAACTTATTGAAAAGTCCTGTGCTCTCCATTTAAGTAACTAGCAACATGTGCCTATTGAGCACTGAAATGCGGCTAGTCTGAATAGTGCTGGAAGTGTAAAATACCTGGCAGATTTTAAGCTTTTAATTACCAAGACAAGAAAAATGTAAAACATCACATTAATTTTTTAAAATATTGACTGTATCTTGAAATCATAGTGATTTTGGTTCTACTAGGTCAAGTAAAATTTTCAGATTTCACGTTTCTTTTTACTCTTTTTTTTTTAACTGAAGATACCAGAAATTTTAAAATTATATATGTGGCTTCTGTTATATTTCTGTTGGATACTGCTGCTGTAGCAAGTATGAACCTAAAGTACAGACATGACTTAATAGACTAAATATATAGATACATTGATACCCATTGAGGAAAGGTGTTAACCTTCAAAGTGATCACCTTGGAGGTCTGTATATAATCGCAGTGCACAACGTATTTAGGAGAGGCTTTTGAAATTTTGTGCCAATTTTGAAATTTTTTAGAACATCAACTTCATAGTTACTTGGAACAGTTTTATAGCCTTTTAAGAATAAGCTGTTGAATTTTTAAAGGACTCACACTCACTTGGATTTATCAGTTTTGTTTTATTGAGTTAAAAGTCATGCCTTGAACAGAATTGTATGTTTAATAAAATGATCAGTTTCAGATTTTCTTGTTATTTAATATATTTTTATTTTAATGTTTTTTAGAAGGTTGTCAAAATATTTTAGCCTATGTAAAATCAACCCCTTAAAATTCCAAACCTCAGGGCAGAGGCCAAAAGTAAGTTTTAAGATGTGTCTATGTATTTTTTTATATTGTTTTCCTCATTGAAAGGTAAAAAGTTCTAAGACCATCTTCAGACATTATTTTTGGGTTGACAAATAGAAGAAAATTCTGGGAAGAGACGCTCTTGGAGGAGATTCTTTTAAATTTAAACTACTAGCAAGAAATACTTTCACAGATTCATAAATATGAAAATACAGATTTGACTGAACCCATGAAGTACTCTGATTAGGCAGAATTAATATTTATTTGTTGAAGATGCAAAATTAAAGACTGCAAATTTTATGTGAGTTTGCTTTTAAAACAAAAAATGGGTTTCATGAAAAACCTCAACTTTTTCTAGACCACTGATGTGCTTTCATCTCTCTCTTCTTTTCACTAAAGCTCAGTGAAGAATTTTGGCAGTATAACACCTTCCAGTACTGGAGGAACCCTTTACCACCTATTGATCTGGCAGACATTGAAGATGTAAGCGAAGACAACCTGATAGAAACAGCACTGCAGGGCAAGAATGAAGTGGCTGAGATTGATATGGAGTCTTGACAGAAGGAGCTAAAGAAGTGGGTTTTTCTCAACTCGAGGAGACATCTCTAGATGAATTTATGTATTAAGGAAAAAAGTTATTTTCCATACTTGATGTGATATCATTCCCAAACCTGAAAAATGAGGAAAAGTTGTTTCAAAATGAATGCCTGCAGTCAGTACTATATCTCCCAATGGGGATTTGTCAAGGATATAGTGCAGTTGTAGGGGAAGTACAATATGTGTGCATTCTTAAGAAAAATGTATGTGTAGTTTCTAAATTTGAAGATATCAGTCTTACAAAATGGAATTCTGACTGTTACAGAAATAGATGGGAAACATTCAGATATTCCTGTTGTTGCACCAAAAAGTTAATTTGTGTACATGAAATGAATATTGTTTTATAATAACTTATTAATAAAATACTTTCTAATACACTTCATTGACTCTTTTTGTTGAACAAATAGCTGACTTAAACATCTGTGCAAACTTAAAATGGGATTCTTTCTGAAACCTGGTATAGTTTTAAAAGAGCTTTCTGAATGTAAAGTAGTGAAAATTTCAGTTTGGGTAGCATGTTTGTATAACTTCCAGTAGTTAATATTTGCTAAACTTGACTTTAGGCCATCAGTAATGGATAAAGAACAAAGAGAATTGAGCAGGTGATTCATTGCCCTCCTTTCCTAGGATAAGAAGAAATTTATATTTCTTTTTATTTTTTTATTGTTATTTCTTGATTTTGAATTTCTTTGAGGACATGGTGTTTATTGCTTATTATCTAGACTTGTAGTCATCAACACTTACAACTTTCAAAGATTTTGCATGGGCCCCACTCTTGAGAGATTCTCATGTAATTGTTCTGAGGTGGGCTTGAGTATAACTATTTTTTTAAGCACCAATCCTTCTTCCTTTCATTTCTCAAATGTGCAGACTGGTTTGAGAAGCACTAGACTCATAGTAAGTTTTCCTGTTTAAAGGTGATAACTAATGAGCTGAAGCACTGCCTTCTTAATTAGCTTTGTTTTTATTTTGCTCTGTTGATTGGCTTTGTTACAACTAAATTGTTATTAGTCTTTCATTGTTAAAGAAATTAAGCAATTTGTGTTTTTGGTTATATTAGTATCAGTAATTAAGTTAACTAACTTTTGTACTGCATCCGGAATATTGGCTTTGTAATTGACTGACTTGTCTTTGTACATTTTTTGTTGTTAATGACATTAGATCCAAAATTTAGGAAGGATGATAAATGCCATTGAGAGAAGAAGAAATACTAGTGTGTACTGTAGAGTGTGTACTGTAGCATTTAAGTATGGGCTGACATCAGTAAGAATATTCTAGAAGAGAAGACAAACTGTATAGCTAAGTCTTTGGGGTCAGGTTTGGTTCAAAGTCTTGTCCTGCTGCTTTCTACCTGTGTAATGTTAACTTGGGCTTCCTTGTTGGCTCAGATGGTAAAGAATCCACCTGTAATGCGGGAGACCTGGGTTCAGTCCCCGGTTGGGAAGATATCCTGGGAGAGGGCATAGCAGCTCACTCCAGTATTCTTGCCTGGAGAATCCCAGGGACTGGGGAGCCTGGTGGGCTGCCGTCTGTGGGGTCATACAGAGTCAGACACAACTGAAGCAACTTAGCAGCCAAGCCCCAGTTATGTCACTTGTAAAATTAGAATAAATAGTATCTACCTCAGACTATATTTATTATGAAGCAATGTACTAAGTACCTGCATCACCTTGTCTAATTCTCATAATATTCTTAAAGGTACAAAAAAGTTATTTGGAATAAATGTGCTTTCTATAGTTGGACTTCATTCCACTTTAAATTGCTATTAGAAATAATAAGGAGAAGAGCTGGAATTTGAAGAAATAGCAAAGGAACTATGGAGTGGGGGGTAGCAGTTAAAAGTGCAGTGAAAAGGGGAACCTTTCTTCCTCCTTTATAGTTAATCTTGAGGGTAAGAAAGTGCCCTTTTATTTTTGGAAGGTGTCCATTTTTTTACACTTCTCTTCCTAGTGCTTGAACAATGCCTGCCACATAGTAGATGGTTGCATGAACGAATGAATGTGTGCTCTTATCTGTTGGGAAAGTCATGCTGGCAATTTTAGACCATTTCCCTTAGAGGTGTATACAAAAGGTTTGTTATAGAGATCCAGTAGTAAGACATTGGAAATCTGTTAAGTTTATCATATTTATTATATAATAACCAAGACTATAAGGACTAAGATGTCTCCCAAATGAGCAATAAGAGATGGTTTACTTGGACAGGAAATTTCATAGGTTACCACATTGCAGTGTCTGAGTGAAGATGCAGAGTAGCTTGGATGTCTTTTTCAAGGATATGTCAAAAAGCATTAAAACCATAAGGTAAAGATTCAGGGAAAATACTTGCTATTATTATGTTGAAAGTTTTAATATTTTATGTAGGTGTATATGTATTTTAGTACAATGTAATAAAATTTATACATATATATTAATATGTAAAATATGTATAATATACAGGGTATGTATGTGTGTGGTTACATATATAGAGAGATTTGAAATAATTTTGTCCTTTAAAAAAAAATTGTTAGCCTCAAGTAACTTGGCAAAATAGCCTTGTGGATAAATTGAAATGGAAATTTAAAAGTAGGTTTTTTTTTTTTTTAAGTTGTATGCCCTTCACTCAGATTCCCTAATGTAGTATCTTACATTATCACAGTATTATTATGAACATGAGGAAATTAACATCAGTATAATTCTATTATACTTTTATGAGGACATGGAAAGAGTGACATCAGACAACTACTTTAAAGATAATGTATGTCAAAAACCTAAAGGGAAGATTCAGATTTCACTGCTGTCCTATTAACATCCCTTTTCTGGCTCATGATTCAATCCATGTTATATGTTTAGCTGTATCTCCTTAGTCCTCAAAATTTCTTTGCCTTTCACAGCCTTGGTACTTTCTGAAGAGGACTGGTTATTTCATCAGATGACACTTGATTTCTGTTGATTTGTCTGATATTTCCCATAATTATGCATTTTTGATAAGAACTTCATAGAAGTGGTGTAAGCTCAGTTCATTGTACCAGGAGGCACTGGATGTCAGTTTGTGTCATTGGTGATTGTAACTTTGATTAGTTGGTTAAGGTGGTGTCTGCCATGTTTCTTTCTTGTAAAGTTACTGTTTTCTCCTTTAATTAATAATTATCTTCTGGAGGAGTTTTTTTTGAAACTATATAAATTTCTCATTCTCCACACAAATTTTAGAAGCTTGATGATTCTTGCCCGAAATACTTATTTCTCTGGTATATGTCAAATGTTAATTTTCTGTTTCCATCATCTCTACCATATTTATTGGAATTCTACTGTAAAGGAGAGCTTTCCTTTCATCCTCATTTCTATAGTCAATTGATTATATCATTATAGACTAATGAGTATATATTTTGTCCTATGAGTTATAATCTGTTGCTTTCATTATTTAGTTACACAAATCCCAGGTTTAATCAATGAAAGTCCCTTCAAGTTGGTTCTTTTGCTCTCCCCCTTTTAAAATGCATTTTGTTATTTATTGTGTGAATACTGATTAATATTGGCAGAACACTTCTGCACTTACAAGGTGAAGGATGGAAATCAGTGCCAGCTGTGGCATCACTATGTTACTTAACAATTTGAGTCTTGTTTTTCTCCTCAGAAAATGGGAACACTAATACGTCAGAGGAACAGAGTTGAGGTGAAATGACATGGTAATTGTGGGGAACCATAATTGCCACTAAATACATATTTCTCTTCCTTTACAGTACTTGAAGTGCATGTATTCATTATCTTTCTGATAGATAGTTATTAGTGATATCAGTACCTAAAGTTGACTGAGGCAAATGCTCTATGAAGGTCACTTTTAAAGAATTTCGGCTATTATATGGAGTCTACAAACCTAAACAATAATATCATAACAGATTATATTTGTTGGTTGTATGACCCCATGATAGGCAGAGATGGATCCCCAAATTCCCAGCCCCTGTTGTAACATCCAGTTATGTGATCAAACACTAATTTAGGTACTCCTGTGACTACTTTGCTGATGTTACTAAGGTCTCAAACCAGTTGCTCTTAAGATAGGGAATGAACTTGGTGGGCCTGATGTAAATCATACAAGCTCTTTAGAAATGAGTAGAAAGTTAGAGACAGAGGAAGTCAAAGAGCTACAAAGTGTGGGAGGGGGTTCAATAGGAGAGTAATTCTTTGGCTTTGAAGATTGAGGGAGCCCGTGTGCAAGAACCTGAAAGCAATCACCAGAGGTTGTGGGTATGTCCTTGTGGCCACCCAGAAAGAAAATGAGACCTCAGTCCTATAACCACAAGGATCTAAACTCAGCCAACAACCTGAATGAACTTGAAAGTGGTTTCTTCCAAAGAACTTTGAGAAGGAGCATAACCTGGCTGACATCTTGATTTCAGCTTAATGATACTCTGAAGAGAGAACGTTACATGTCAAACTGGACTTCTGACATACAAAAGTGAGTTAATTCAGTGGTTCCAGATTTTGGACACAGAGACCACTCTTGGGGAGGACAGTTTTTCCATGGACCAGGGTGTGTCTGGGGGTGATGGTTTGGGGATGATTCAAGGACACTTATTGTGCAATTTGTTTCTATTATTGCATCAGCTCATCAGGCATTAGATCCCATAGTTTGGGCACCCCCGAGTTAATTGAAGAGGTTTGTTTTTCTAGACTGCTTAGTTTGTGATAATTTATTATGCAGCAATAGAAAGCTAATAGAGACCCCATCACTTTTTAGCACTTCCTTATCTTCTCACACAAGACATCTGCCACAGATGTTTCTCTTGTAAATTCTCTACCCTAGTCCTGAAATTATTTCTCCAAAAAGCCCTGACTTCTTTATTAGAGAAAGGTATTTAGAAATGAAGAGCTCAGTGCAAGATATACTCGTTGGTATTGGGTATCATCACTTTCTATGTTCTCTCAGCTGACAGAACAATAAAATATATTTGTGTATACAACTGTATGTATTTCTATAACCTAGATAGCATATTAAAAAGCAGAGACATTACTTTGCCAACAAAGGTCCGTCTAGTCAAGGCTATGGTTTTTCCAGTGGTCATGTATGGATGTGAGAGTTGGACTGTGAAGAAAGCTGAGCACCGAAGAATTGATGCTTTTGAACTGTGGTGTTGGAGAAGACTCTTGAGAGGCCCTTGGACTGCAAGGAGATCCAACCAGTCCATCCTAAAGGAGATCAGTCCTGGGTGTTCATTGGAAGGACTGATGCTGAAGCTGAAACTTCAATACTTTAGTCACCTCATGGGAAGAGTTGACTCATTGGAAAAGACCCTGATGCTGGGAGGGATTGGGGGCAGGAGGAGAAGGGGAGGACAGAGGATGAGATGGCTGGATGGCATCACTGACTCGATGGGCATGAGTTTGAGTAAACTCCGGGAGT